CAAACCAAACCAAATCACAATAATGAAACTATAATATCTATAGTTTTCTTTACAGTAAACAAAACATTATCAATATTTTTTTCTCATTGATTCAACTATGAAGATATATGGTACTGGAAAATTTTGGAATCAACAGTGATGCTATATTACTGGTATACATTTTGAGCTGATATAATCAATATCCATGTAGCTTAAAATGCATATTTTTAGTCACAAAAGATATTTTAATAGTAAACATTTTGTCAGCTATATTTGGTTGGGGGCAAAACAAAAATGAATACAAGTATTTAATTCTGATATTTGTTCATTTTCGTCGTTATGTTTATTTCAGGGTCTGATGGAGGAGAACAAGGTCCAGATTACTGTCCTTAATCCAAAGGCAGTCACTATGGGTCAACTTTATGGTCAGTTTGACCCTGTCTCCCACGAGTGGTCCGACGGAATCCTGGCCGTGTCTTACCGAGCATTTGCCACCTCCACAGTACGTATCAATATTGGGGAGGGGGGGGGTTGTTGCACTGGGATCCTTAAAGTGTTTTTATGTAAAAAATTAAGTCCATATTAAATTCTAAAAGACTCGAGTACATGAGCCGTGGACTCATACAAATGAAGTTCATTGATTGTCCTATTGCTACGATTTTCTGTGGTCAAATAATCACAAGGGATTAAAGGAAATACCAAAAACTGGTCATGCAGTGACACAATTATAACTCATTTTAAAGAAAAAAAAGTTGTGAAGTATTTCCTAATTGTATCATGTAATAAACCACAATTGTCTTAAAATTCTGTTTACAAATGTTTTCTTCCTGTGACTGAAATGTTGACGTTTTGCAGACTCCAGACAGGAAGTGGCTGATCTTTGACGGTCCAGTTGACGCCATCTGGATTGAGAACATGAACACCGTGCTCGATGACAACAAGAAACTGTGTCTGATGAGCGGAGAAATCATACAACTGGCCAACACAACCAATCTCATGTTTGAGCCCATGGATCTCGAAGTGGCCTCCCCCGCTACAGTACGTAAAGAAAAAACGGGGCCAATTTTTTCATTGAAAGGAGTCCAAACTGTTACTATCTGATTTGACCAATTGATTGATTGATTGATTGATGAGGCTTTACATCCAGAAGGACCATTTATGGTGAAGACTTTTGTCCATAAGAAATACAGAAAATAAGTTGATTATAAAGCTATTAGTGCCATATTTGTTGTCCAAAAATAACTTGTACTACATTGTATAGACTGTAATGCAGTTTTTGCCATTTATCTTGACGTATATTTAGCTTGTTTTAGCTGTACCACTAATGGTTATACCTCTCTTTGACAGGTGTCGCGCTGTGGTATGATCTACATGGAGCCATCTTCATTGGGATGGCGGCCAATGGTGAAGTCATGGCTCTTTATGATGCCAGCTACACTCACAGAAACCCACAAATCCACCATAAATGACATGTTTGAAAGATTTGTGGATGCCTGCATCCAGCTTGTCAGGAAAGGCGGAGTTGTTGTAAGTCATCAGTAGACAGTTTCAATAATAGGAGGCTCGGTAGTCTAGTGGTAGGACGCCGGGCTCGCGACCGAAGGGTTGC